CCATGGGACCAATCCACATACCTTGCCTTATGTTGGAAGTGATGAGAAGAAGTCGTGAGGAAGGAAGGGGGCGGGGCGGGCGAAGGCAGCTGCTTTGTGCAGAATGGTCTGGGAGGTCTTTGAGAGGTAACATTGCCCAGAACCCTGGGTGAAGTGAGGGAGGAGACCAGGCGGGTGTCTGAGGGAAGAGTGGGCCAGACAAGGGGGCAGCCAGTGCAAAGGCCGAGGGGAGTGGCTGGAACAGGAGGATTGGGGAAGCGGAGGGGTTGGTCGGGGGCCGGGTGACATGGGGCCTGGTAGTTATGCTAAGGAGTTAGGAAACCATGGGAGCATCTGGAGGTGGGGAGTAACTGGAATTGTTTTTAATGGGCCATTCTAGCTGCCAGAGGAAGGGTCTGTAGGGGGTGAGGTGGAAGCTGGGAGCCCACAGGGAGCCGCTGGGGACTCCGCGCAGGGCGGTGGGACGCTGTGGCCTGTGGAAGGCAGAACCAGAGCCTTGCTGAGGGGCTGGGTGTGGGGCGACAGAAGGCAGAGGGGAGTCAAGGACAAGTCTGAGGGCGTTGCCTGTGCCCTGGGAGGGTGGGTTTCCTGAGCTGGGAAGGGGAAAGTTCTGTGGGCAGAGGCGGGTGTCAGGGTCCGGGGTGGGTGCGTTGATTTGACACATCCGTGTATGGAGCTGGGTTGGAGAGGAGGCCGGGGCTCCAGGGAGATGCTGGGGAGTGGCTGGCATGTCAGTGGCATTTGAAGTCAAGAGACTGGATGAGGTCAAGGGGTGAGTGAGGCAGAGAAGGTGAGGCCTGAGCTGCAGGCCCTCCTTGGTGTACAGGAGCGGAGACCGCACGGACTCCAGGAGGTGGGGCGCACCAGGGGACCCCCACCTTCGACAAGGAGACTGATGGACAGAGTAGCTCCTGTGCTTGGTTTCCCGTCTTTTCCCCCCTCCCCCCAATATTTTTATTGATTTCAGAAAGAAAGGGGGGGAAGAGATAGAAACATCAATGATGAGATTCATTATCGGCTGCCTCGGCACGTCCCCCACTGGGGCTTGAGCCCACAACCCGGGCATGTGCTCTGACCAGGAATCAAACCGTGACCTCCTGGTTCACAGGTCGATGCTCAACCACTGAGCCACACCAGCCAGGCTGGTTTCCCACCTTGGTCCTGCCTGTGTTTTAGGGGTGTATTTTGGTGAGGGATCCAGGTGAGAGTGACTGCAGTGGGAAACAGCAACATGGATGTCGCCTACGGACTGTCATCCTGACCCCTTGTCCTGTTGGGTTGGGCAGGGGTGGGGCAGCAGGGGTCACCTTGTCACTCCTCTCCCCTACTCCTTGTAGGTTCATCAATAAGCTCCAGCCAGGCTCCGTGAAGAAGGTCAATGAATCGACACAAAATTGGCACCAGGTGAGCCCAGACTCTTAACTCTTTCAACCCCTGGCCACAGCCCCTCAGCACCGCCCTCTGCCTCGCCCCTGCCTTGACTGCCCCCTGCCTCTCCAGCTGGAGAACATAGGCAACTTCATCAAAGCCATCACCAAGTACGGGGTGAGGCCCCACGACATCTTTGAGGCCAATGACCTGTTCGAGAACACCAACCACACCCAGGTGCAGTCCACCCTCCTGGCCCTGGCCAGCATGGTGAGTGTGGCTCCACGGTGGGCATGGGCGGAGGGGCTGTGGGCGGTCTGGGCTGGAATTCAGGTGGGGCCACTGGCGTCCCTGAGCCCAGCGTGGGTGGGAGGGGACCGTGCAGCCCGAGGCTCCCTCCTCAGTCCCTGCCCCCCTCCCTCCCTTCCCCAGGCCAAGACGAAAGGGAACAAGGTGAACGTGGGTGTGAAGTATGCCGAGAAGCAGGAGCGGAAGTTTGAGCCGGAGAAGCTTCGAGAGGGGCGGAACATCATTGGGCTGCAGGTACTGCCCCTCCCCACCCGAGTCTCACTGCCCGGCTGGAGGTGGAGGCGGGACGGCATCCTGGTCCCTGCGGGCTTTGGGGACAGCGTATTTGGCCTTGATGCTCTAACTCTGTACCTGACCCACTCCCGCAGCAGCTCTAGAAGGCAGGCTGTTACCGTCAGACCATGTATATGGAAACAGGCCTGGAGAAGCTGGCTCAGCCGTCTGGCTCTCCCAGGTGACAAGTGGCCACGCTGGGACTTGAACCTGTCAGTCAGGCCTGGGTGCTCTGAGCCACTCGCTGAGCTGTGACACTTTCTCTGGGCCTCGGCTTCCTGTGTGTAGCCTGAGTGGAAACAGTGCCTTGTTAGAGGCCTGTGAGTGTCCACGGGCATTGGCACATCGGTGGTCCGTGGTGAGGCTCTGTAACCTTGAAGTGCCTCTCCTTCTGGATCCTTAGATGGGCACCAACAAGTTTGCCAGCCAGCAGGGCATGACGGCCTATGGTACCCGGCGCCACCTCTACGACCCCAAGCTGGGCACGGACCAACCCCTGGACCAGGCCACCATCAGCCTGCAGATGGGCACCAACAAGGGAGCCAGCCAGGTGTGTGGGGGGCCATGGGGTGGCTGGTGGGCTCTTGCCCTTCGCCGTGCCCACGGCCTGACTGCGCTGCCTCCGCAGGCCGGCATGACGGCTCCGGGGACCAAGCGGCAGATCTTCGAGCCGGGGCTGGGCATGGAGCACTGCGACAGTCTCAACGTCAGCCTGCAGATGGGCAGCAATAAGGGGGCCTCGCAGCGGGGCATGACGGTGTATGGGCTGCCGCGCCAGGTTTACGACCCCAAGTACTGCCTGACGACCGATTACCCCGAACTGGGCGAGCCTGCCCACAACCACCACCCACACAACTACTACAATTCTGCCTAGGGCCCTGGGCCTCCCGCCCTCACCCCCCAGGGAGGCTGGCTGCTGCTCGGCAGGGCCTAGCCCGGCCCCGCTAACCCCTGCCCCCTGCATGGCGCCCTCCAGCCCCTGGCACCTGCCTACAGGGTTAGCACTGGGGGGGAGGAGCAGACTGGGGGGTCTGTGTGGGGGGGAGGGGGCTCTCCTCCCTGGAGCACTGCAGGGTCCAACATCGAGCCAGGTGTTCCCAACGGCATCCAAAGGACGCACTGAGCAAAGCTACCCCAGCTGCCCCCCACTCCCTCACAGGTGGGTTCCCCCCAGGACAAGAAGCCCCCCAAGCAAAGCCCCCAGAGCCCAGGCTCAGCCTGCCTCCACCCCATTCCCACAATGGGAGCCAACTGCATGCCCAGAGACCCAGCGGACACACGCGGTTTGGTTTGCAGCGACTGGCGTATGTGGATGTGACAGCGGTGTTTGTAATGCGAGCACTTTCTTTTTCTATTTCACTGGAGCACAATAAATGGCTATAAAATCATCTGAAGACTCAGGTTGCTCTGTCCTGGAGCCTGTATGGCTCTTGCACATGCACAAACAGCCTTGCTCAGATACCCTGCATTGACCAAATACACTTCTGCACAGGCGCACACTCTATACACACAGGCTCACAGCCCCTCGGCTGGACCCAGGACACACGGACATGTACTCACACACACACCTCTTGGTGGGTATGGTGTGCACAGGCTTGCTGCAGCCTTAGAGGCACCTACAGATACTCACACATGCAGTACACACTCCCACATAAAAAGACACGTAACAACGCACCCTCTCACATATGCACACAATACCCACACACACATGCTCAGTACCCATGTTGTGAGGAAAAACCAAGGTGCTGGGATGGGCTAGATGGGACAGGTGACCTTGGGCAAGTCACTTCCCCTCCTCAGGTCTGTTTTTCCATCAGGAAAATGGGGACAGCAAGGCTCATGGGGAAGCTTAAATGACTACACCAAATAGGATGTTTGGCACCGACCAATGGGCAAGCTGGGTCCTGGAGGCCCCTGTGGGCAGGGGGACCCCGTTAGTCCTGGATTGCAATGTGTGGAGGGTGAGAGGGGACAGGGCAGTGGGTGAGGATGGGCATTTTGTGGGCCCAGGGCAATGGCCCTTTACTGACTGGCAGAGCAGTTGAGTAGCTGACTGAGGGCATGGCTGTCTTATGCGCCAGGCTCACTCTGCCCTCTTCTTACGGCCGATCCGTCTCGCCTGCCATTCCAGGACCCTAGAAGTCTGTGGCCAGGCCCCCAACCTCCCTATGTTCAGAGGGGACCCTGTTCTGTGATGTCGACCCCAGTCATCCCTCTTGCAAGCCACCAACTGTCAGGGTTCCAAGGAGAGGACGCAGCCATGCAGGGGTCACAGCGCAGCCTTCTCTCCTCCCCTCCCCAGGGCAGGGGATGAGGCTGGAACTCGGGGGATCTGCAGACAGACATCAGAAGACCTACATGCAGATGATTTAGCCCTTGGGGCCTTGTAAACTGGATTCCAGGCACTCTTGGCCTGGCTACTGTGCGTCCTGCTCCCCGAGGGCCAGCTCTAGAAGCTACGCTGAGGATCCACGCCTGGCTCTGGGCCCTGCCTCCTGTGGAAAACAGCACCATATTAGCACTTGGTCTGTGAGACTGGGGTGGGCGGGCCCTGGATGCCAGAGGACTGAGCCCCCTTTCCCTGGACCCCAGAGGCAATCCCACCCAGGCCCGTCCACCACTTGCCCATGACCACTGTCTCCTGTCTGGACCAAACCTTCCCTGGGGCCTTGGCGGGGAGGTGGGAGCACCAGGAAGGAGCATCTCAGGCCAGGGTGGACTTCAGGGGGCACATGCCAGACCCAGTAGCTGGGCCTGGGTGGTCAGGGCTTCCTGCCAGCTCAGCATTTGACTGTTCACATCCCTCAACATCCAGGGTGGATTCTAGTCGCTCAAACCAAACGAGGCACCTCCATCCACAGTGTGGCCCCTGGAGGAAGGTTCCATCATCCTTCCCATTGCACCAATGAGAAATCCAAAGCTCAGGGCCCCTGCTGCTCAGGCTCAGGAGGCAGAGCTGGACCTGCCGCAGGCTACTGAGAGTCAGGACCTTCATAACCAGGAGGCCATCCGAGGGCACTGGGCAGTGCCCAGGTGCTCACCATCAGCCATGCTAAGATGTGTGCTTTTCCCAACACCACCAAGCAAGGAACTCAGTTCCGACACTACCTGGAGATAGTATCAGATCCCATAGAATAAGGGCTCGGTCCTACAAGCTGGTCCTCCCCCACTTCAGCTGCCAATTGCAAGTCCAGGTGCTTGTGACCAACTGGCTATAGATCGTTCAGTCCTCAGAGAAACAGGTCGCTTACAGGTTTATTATAAAAGGGCATAAGCCAGGAACAGCCTGATGGAAAAGCTGCACAGGGCAAGGCTGGGGAAGGAGAGCGGAGCCGCTATGCGCTCCATGCCCACCTTCCCAGCACCTCCCCAGTTCACCAACCTGGAAGCTCATCAAACCTTTTTATTTAAATTTTTAAATTGAATTTATTGGTTGATAAAATTACATAGGTTTCCCCATAGCCAGTTTGGCTCAGTGGATAGAACATTGGCCTGTGGACCGAAGGGTCCCAGGTTCAATTCTGGTCAAGGGCACATTCCTGGGTCATGGGCTCAGTCCAAAGTGCAGGAAGCAGCCAATCAATGATTCCCTCTCATCATCGATGTTTCTCTCTCTCTTCCTCTCTGAAATCAGTAAAAATATATTTTAAGCCAAAACCGGTTTGGCTCAGTGGATAGAGCGTCGGCCTGCAGACTGAAAGGTCCCGGGTTCGATTCCGGTCAAGGGCATGTACCTGGGTTGCGGGCACATCCCCAGTGGGAGATGTGCAGGTGGCAGCTGATCGATGTTTCTAACTATCTATCTCTCTCCCTTCCTCTCTGTAAAAAATCAATAAAATATATATATATATAAAAAATATATATATATATATATATATATATATATATATTTTAAAAAATTATATAGGTTTCAACTGTTCACCAAATCTTACTGAAGATTTAGAGAGCTTAACCTGTAGTCTCTCCCTGACCCTCCCCAGAGGTGGCTGGGAGTTCCCCTCAGTAATCACCTGATCTTTCTGGTGACCAGCCCCATCCTGGGTGATCGCACTGGAAATTCCAAGTTTTAGTAGCTCTGAGCCATGAACAGGGACAAAGATCAATACATATTGGACCCCACCCCGGCATCTGGCTGGTACCTCCAGCCTTTGAGACTCCTCACCAGCCTGGGACAAGCCTCCCTTTAGGACCCTTACTCTTCTCCAGAGCTCCCCAGCCCCACAAAACCAAGAGCTGTCCTCTCAGCCTGCACCCTGGGTGAAGCCAGGCGGCCTGGGTTTAAGGACCAGCTGTGCTGCTTTCTGGCTGTGGGACCTTGGGCCAGTGACCTCCCATCTCTGGCCTGTTTCCTCACCTGCAAGCCTGGGACACCTGCCTCACGGGGTGGCTGTCGGGACAAGGGGGTAAGGCAGGCAAGCCCGAGAGAAGCCACTGCAGAGGGTGGCTCCTGAGTTACCTCTGCCAGCCAGGAAGCCTTCCCTGACCCCCTGCTCCACGCACCTCAGCTCTGTTGCCCTATTTCTCACTGAACTAAATTCTTGCCCACGTCTGTGGGGTCATCGGAGTTCCTTGCCCCCAGCACTGCCACGGTTTTACCCTGGATGCTTGTCTAGTGAACAAATGTTGGACAGTTGGAAGGACTGACCCCACCCCATTTCCAATGACGTGCCAGGCCTCCCTCCCACCCCTCACTGGGCCCGAGGGGCTGACCAGAACCCAAGAAATCAGACAGGAGTCTGCGTCGGCTGCTTTATTTAAGGACTGGTGACTAACAGTCCCCAACCCAGCCCCTCCCTCCCCTATAAAAGCAACTACACATGAACCGGGGCCCCCCTGCCAGGGCCCAGCCAGGGGCCAGTGGTGCTGAATCCCAGGCCACAGTCCTTGGAAGGCAGAGGAGGCGTGCAGTCCAGTTCACACGGGCAAGGTGCTGGGGAGGTGGGCGAGGAGGCGGAGAGTCCTGAGGCTGTCTCTGCTGGGCTTGTCCTCACCCAGGATGTCAGGACATTGGCCCCCGGAGAAGCCAGGGCTCCAGAGCCAGGGGGTCAGGGGCCGAAGGAGGGAGCAAGTGAAAGGCTTTTGGAGCCAAGGGAGGCAGTTCAAACCCCCGGAGCCCCCTGCCCATGAGCACACCCCCATGGCCACACTTGCAGTCACACATTCACATCCACATCCACTCCATACACAGGCAGGGGCTGCGAAGGCCCTGGACCCACACCCTGGACCTCAGGAATGTCTCTGGATTGGTACCCAGCGGGCTGGTCCTCGGCAGGGAGTCTGCAAAGGGGGTGGGTCCTCTGTTTTGCTACTGATTGGCGGCCTCACAGGCGTCTATCCAATCACTATACACGTCCACCGGTTCTGATAGATCTGAGCCGTTGGAGTCAAGGGCAACTGCCGGCATCCGACACCTCCCCTTTCCCGTATACACCTTAGCTGCTCACGATGTCAGCCAGACCCCTGCCCTGCCCACTATCACCCGCTTAAGCAAGCAGGTAGCACCCATTCCTCTGGGTGGCCAAGGCCCTGCACAGGATACACAACAAGGCCCAGGATGCAAGGGCTTATTCTACCCCTGGCCTTGGTGAGAAGCCCTTGAGCAGCCCACCCTGGGCAGGGCAGCCCTGACCACCCCATCCCCACCCCCTGGATAAAGCCCAGTTTCCCAAGGATACACGTGATGGGTGTCTGGAATTCCTCTAGGCACACGGTACAGGAGATGACTCCGGTGTTACGGGCACGGTCCCTGGAATGGGAGGAGATGGAGGGACTGATAAGCAAAGAGGCCTGTATCTAAGGGGGAGCCAATTCCCGCCTGAGGGTGGGGGAGGCCCCGTGAGGCAGGATTCCTGGCCCCCACCCCTTGCTCACATTTTCACGTCACAAGATTTCTCGTGGTTGCAGAAGGGGCAGGTGAACTGGGTCTCTAGAGTGCCTGTCATCTTCTTCTTGGGGGGTGGCTTTCGTTTTGACTTTCTGCGCCCCATGTCTGCAGGAGGGTGAACCTGTGGGGGAGGAGGACAGATGTCAACAACTCAGGGGACCCAGGAGGCCCTGCAGTGGCTGGCCCACAGTGAAAGGAGGACTTGCACAATGGCTCTCTCTGAGGACATCAGACAATTCCAGTGCACTCTGGGTAGAGGGGGTGAGAGCAGGTTCTAGGTCAGGGGTGGGCAAACTTTTTGACTCGAGGGCCACAATGGGTTCTTAAACTGGACCGGAGGGCCGGAACAAAAGCATGGATGGAGTGTTTGTGTGAACTAATATAAATTCAAAGTAAACATCATTACATAAAAGGGTACGGTCTTTTTTTTTTTTTTTTAGTTTTATTCATCTCAAACGGGCCGGATTCGGCCCGCGGGCCGTAGTTTGCCCACGGCTGTTCTAGACTCTAACCCTGTCCCACCCCACTTACTACATGACCTCAAGTAGGTAACTTAATCTCCCTGTGCCTCAGTTTCCTTACTTATAAGACAGAGATGAGGTAGCTACCTCAGAGGGGCTGACAGAATGCACTGTCTAAAGCCCATCCATCGCTGGCACCTACACAGGCGGCCACTGTTCCCGGTGAGGATAACCCGAGTACCGACAGGCCAGTTGTCCAGGCCTGGGCAGAGCCGAAGTGCTCTGGAGCCATGATTTTAGGACCAGCTGCTCCTCTTATCAAAGGACATGCAAGGACCCCCCAGGAGGAAAGACACTCAAGGGATTTGACAGAGCCTCCGACAGGCTCCCTGGGCAGCCTACCCACAGAAGAGGGGCTACTGGACAGAGAAGTGTTTCAAGCGGAGAAATGCCATGCAGAAGGCTGAGGACCAGGCCAGTGGGGGAGGGGCGGGTTGAGGAGGCAACAGACAAGAAAGTTTCAAGTGTTTAGCTGGATCCTGACCGCCAGGGAGAGAAACAACAACCTCACCCTGTGCTTTTAAGGGACTGAGGAATACGGGTCAAAAGTCTGGACAAAGATGGAAGTCAGAACTGGGACAGGGCTGTTTGGGGAGGAGAGAGCAGCTGGCAAGACTGAAGAGACAAATCAGTGGAATGAGTGGGTATGCGAGAGACGGAAGAGTCCAGAATGACCTCCAAGGTTGTGATGGGCGGGGTTGTGTCGAACACAAAAGAACAGTCTTGGAGGCAGAGACCACTGAACGAATCTCCATGCCAGGCGCTGGGCTCAGGGCTCCGCATTCACCATTCCTGAGCCTTCCAAGGAGCTCCCCCTCCCTCCCAATCACACTCTGTCTTTCTCTCTCTCCACTGCTGGTTCTAGGATCATTCCTCCGTGACAGGGGAGGTCGGCAATCTGCCAGAAGAAAGACCAGAGTTTCATTCATATTTAGCAATCACTTTCTATGTAACATCCTCATTCATTTTTAAAAATATATATTTTATTGATTTTTTACAGAGAGGGACAGAGAGTTAGAAACATCAATGAGAGAGAAACATCGATCAGCTGCCTCCTGCACACCCCCTACTGGGGATGTGCTGGCAACCAAGGTACATGCCCTTGACCAGAATCGAACCTGGGACCCTTCAGTCAGCAGGCCAATGCTCTATCCACTGAGCCAAAATGGTTAGGGCACATCCTCATTCATTTAAAAAAATGTTTAAAGCCTGGCCAGCCTGTCTCAGTGGTTGAGTGTCAACCTATGCATCAGGAGGTCACTGTTCCATTCCTGGTCAGGGCACATGCCCAGGGTTCAGGAGGCAGACAATCAATGATTCTGTCTCATCACTGATGTCTCTATCTCTCCCTCTCCCTTCCTCTCTGAAATCAATAAAAATATATTTAAAATTTTTTCTTAACTTTTCATTACAGTTTACATCCAACATTTTGTATTAGTTTCAGGTGTACAATATAGTGGTTAGACAATCATATACTCTACAAAGTCTTCCCCTGATATTCCAGTACCCACCTGGCACCATACAGTATTACTGACTGTAGTTCCTAGGCTGTACTTTACATCCCCATGAGTATTTGGTAACTACCAATTTATATTTCTCAATTCCTTCACCTTTTTCACCGAGCCCCAATCCCCCTCCCCTCTGGCAACCATCAGTCTGTCCTCTGCATTTATGAGTCTGTTTCTGTTTTGTTTGCTTGTTTATCTTGTTCTTTATTTTTATTTTTTTTAAAATATATTTTATTGATTTTTTACAGAGAGGAAGGGAGAGAGACAGAGAGCTAGAAACATCGATGAGAGAGAGAAACATCGATCAGCCGCCTCCTGCACATCTCCCACTGGGGATGTGCCCACAACCCAGGTACATGCCCTTGACTGGAATCGAACCTGGGACCTCTCAGTCCGCAGGCCGACGCTCTAGCCACTGAGCCAAACCAGCTTCGGCTATCTTGTTCTTTATATTTCACATATAAGTAAAATCATATGGTATTTGTCTTTCTCTGACTTATTTCACTTGGTATCATACCCTCTAGGTCAGTGGTTCTCAACCTTCCTAATGCCACGACCCTTTAATACAGTTCCTCATGTTGTGGTGACCCCCAACCATAAAATTATTTTTGTTGCTACTTCATAACTGTAATTTTGCTACTGTTATATCTGATATGCAAGATGTATTTTCATTGTTACAAATTTAACATAATTAAAGCATAGTGATTAATCACAAAAATAATATGTAATTATATATGTGTTTTCCGATGGTCTTAGGCGACCCCTGTGAAAGGGTCGTTCAACCCCCAAAGGGTCGCGACCCACAGGTTGAGAACCGCTGCTCTAGGTCCACCCACCCTGTGGCAACATCCTCAATCTTAACTGAGGATGCGTCCAAGTCACTGAGTAAACAAAAACAGCTGGCAGAGAACACCCACAAGTCCCCAGGACCACCCATGTGGCTTCCCTCCTTTGCCTTGGACGAATGTCCTAGGTCCACATAAAAACAATTTGTGTCTCTACTAGATCATTAACAAACACACTCCCATCATTAAAAAACAAACAAACCACCACAAAACAAAACACCTCCTTCTCCGAAGGCGTTTCTAGTAGAGCTGTTTCCCTCCCATTCTCTCTCCGCCACCTGCCTCACGCTGGGCAGTCCCACCCCCAGGACACTGGACAAACTGGTTTTCTCTTCCTGCCCCTTCCCATGGGACCCCTCAGAACCTCACTCTTACACCCTGATTCCCTGACAGTTCCTTTCACTCTCAGCTGCTGCTGACCTCCCTCGCCCCCCAATTCTCTAATGAGGAGCCCACCAGCTCCATCTTTGGGCCCCGCCCTCTGCCGACACTCACCTCCATGGCTTCAGATGCCCCTTCTACACGGATGCCACCTGCCCCTCTGGCCTTGCTGTGTCCTTTGACCCACAGGCTCCCCCCCTCTACCTGTCTTGGTCACACCTCCCATCTGATGCTAACCAAACATTAACCTGTCGAAAACTGAGCTCCTGACACCTCAACCTGCTCTCTCCCGGTCTTCCCCATCTCCGCAGACAGCAAATCCATCCTTCCAAACCCCGGGACTCATCCTTGATCCCTCTCTCTCTCTCTCTCACACCCAGCTCTTATCTGGATCCGGTGCGTGCTGCTTCTTTCTAAAACACATTCAGAACCTGACCACCTCTCACCACCTCCAGGGCCACTGTCCTGGTCTGAGTCCAGAGTCCCGGTCACCTCTGGCCTGGATGATCACAACAGCCTCCTCACTGGTCTCCCTGCAGCTCCACATGCGAATCCCACGAGGGCAGGGACTTTTGGCTTTTCTTCGTATCCTCAGAGCTGAGAATTGTTCGTGGCACAGAGCTAGCGCTCAACAGATACTTACTGAGCCAATGAATGAACAAACGAATGCCAGGCCCGACACTACACCACACAATGCTGCAATCAAGGCAGGCAAGGTTTCTGCTCTTGTGAAACTTCTATGGTCGTGGACGAAGACAGACCCTGAACAAGTTAACTAATAAGGGAAATGACCCCAGATATTGTTAAGCCCTGCAAGGTTAACCCCAGGGCAGGTGAAACACTCCCGGAAGGGGGGCTGCTTCAGATAAGGGCAGAGTGGGAAGGACCCGCTGGGCAGGTCACTTCCGATGAGACCTGGATGACCAGAAGGCACCACGCAAGGCAGTCCAGGTAGAGGGAGCAGCAACTGCAAAGGCTGCGAGGCAGACGCTTTTCTCGAGAAAGAGAGAGGCTGGTACAGCTGAAGCTCGGCGGACAACGGGGAGATGCGGGGAGATGGGTATGAGATGCGGGGAGATGGGTATGAGATGCGACAGAAGCGGGAGCAGCAGCCAGACCCCACGAGACCCTGCAGACTTCAGGAAGGTGCGGTCGGTTCTGCAGCCCATGCTCTCACCTATCAGGGCAGTTTCCCCCAAAGTCCAGCCCTGGTACCACCTGCAACAGAACCACCCGGGCGCCCTCAGAAAAGGCTGGTTTCTGGGCCTCGCCCAGATCCACCCGCACTGGGATGTCAGTGGAGGGGCCGGGCCGTGATCTGCCCGCTGCTGAAGCCCAGCAGGCGCAGTGACCGGTGCGCATTAAGCGCTCAGTGACTACGTGGTGGATGAATAAATGAGTCTCCCGAATCGGAAGCTACAGATGCCCCCCACCCCCCATCTCATTTTACCCGGTGGCTACAGTAACCCACCCACCCCACCACAGAACTGGAGGCTGAACTGCCAAAGCCCCAGGGGTCTCGGCCGGTCCTTCGGTGACGACGACCAAAGGCGCCGACAGAGGGATGGGGGGGGGGGGGGTCGGCCTCCGATCCCGCCGAGACTCTAGAGGCGGAGGGTGGGCGGTCCCTCCAGGCTTACCCAGGCGCCTCCGAGCAGCGCGCTCAGCGGGCTGGGACCCGGAGGAGTCAAGCTCCCTGACGGGCCACGCTCCCACCCCCGGGCCCTCGGCGCCTCCTCCGGTACCCCGTGAGCGGCCCCGAGTCGAAGAGCGCCCAGCCCGCCCGGCTCCAACGCCCTCCCGCGAGAACCGTCACCTGCACGAGCCTTCCCTCCTTGCGACAGCCTCGTTCACCCGGGAGACAGTGACTTCCGTCTCTCAGCGGAAGCGGAACCTCTTATCCCCTCACGTCCCGCCCACCCTCCGCGGGATAGTCCAATAAGCAGGACCCGCCTCCTCCTCCAACATCTCTATGCGCATGCGTACTCTCCTGGGGCGGGAAGGGGAGGGGAGAAGGGAGGGGAGCCCACGGGAGTTCCGCAGTGCGCCTGCGCGTGGGCTCGAGCGCGAGAGAGTATGTACTGTTTCTCTGCATTTCCCGCGTTTCAGGGGCGTTGGGTCCGGCCGGCCCTGAGCTGGGAAGGTCTCCTGTCCTCGGTCGCAGTATCTTCCTGGGGGTGGTTCACTTGCCTTTCCCGATTCAAGCCCCAGCCCCTCGCAGCCCACCCAGCTCTGCCCACGTGGGACACATTAAACTATCCCGGTGCTGGGGACTCTTTCCCCCTCCCCACGCGGGAGTCTGTGCTTTTCTTCAATTTCCACCTTTGCTATAAAAAATAAAATAAAATATCCCAGAGCTAAGGAATTGCAAATACTGGCATGGCTGGATCAGGGGGAGGGGGGAGCTTGTAAGACGCTGTTCTCCAACTTTAACAAGAACCTTTGGATCTTGCTACAATTCTGCGTTTGATCATTGGTGACCTTGATAAGGACTGTTTCATTGGAGTGTTCAGGAAAATAACTTGCAATATGTATGTCAAATGGACCTATCTCCAAGGTTTCCACGAGGGGGCAGTGTTACCCCTGGAAGTGCCTTTCTGGAAGCCCCCTTCTCAGTGCAGGTTACAAACCTGAACACACACAGGTGGGGTGGTACAATGACCTGCTGCCTTGCAACTTGCTATTTCCACTGAATGGTCAGTACACATACAGATAACGCTTGTTTTCAGTAGCTACATAATTCGTGGTGCCACTCTGCCATGGCATATGGACAATGCTCTATTTGCTGAAGGGTAGTTTTTCCCGGCCTCCTTCCCTTCCTTCACAGCTTTATTGAGATACTAGAGGCCCGGTGCATGAATTCGTGCACAGGTGGGGTCAGGTGGATGGGGCTGGGGGTGGGAGGGCATGGGAGGTTGGCCTGCTAGCCCCTATGGGGTGGGTGGGGGGCTGATCTGGAGCAGGGCTGGCTGGGGGGAGGGCTGCAGGCAGTTGCCGGCTGGCCCCGCCCCCTGGCCGAACTCCCCATGGAGGGGACAATTTGCATATTAGCCTTTTATTATATAGGATCATCAACAAACCGTAAGCTGCATGTATTTAAACTGACATTTTATGTCTTGACATATGCATATACACGTGAAACTATACAATCAAGATAGTGAGCCCTAACTGGTTTGGCTCAGTGGATAGACCGTCGGCCTGCGGACTAAAAGGTCCCAGGTTTGATTCCGGTCAAGGGCATGTACCTTGGTTGCGGGCACATCCCCAGTAGGAGGTGTGCAGGAGGCGGCTGATGGACGTTTCTCTCTCATCGATGTTTCTGACTCTCTGTCCCTCTCTTCCTCTCTGTAAAAAATCAATAAAATATATATTTTTTTCTCTTTTTTTTATTGCTTAAAGTATTACAAAGAGTATTACATATGTCTCTTTTTTTTCCCCCACCCTTGACAATCCCCCGGCCTCCCCTACCCCCCTAAAATATATTTTTTTAAAAAAGATAGTGAGCGTTTCTATCACCCCAAGAAGTTTCCTCCTTTTTCTTTGTAGTCAGTTCCTTCCCTGCCCCTAGCCCCTGGCACCAACTGATCTGTTTTTATTTCCTATACCTTTATGTTTTTTCAGAAAGTCACATAAACAGAATAATACAATACGTAGCCTTTTGATTTGGCTTCTTTTACTCAGCTTACTACCTTCGAGTCTATGTTGTATCTATCAGCAGTTTGTTCCTTTCTATGTTGAGTTGTATTCCCTTATGAAGATACTAGAGGCCTGGTGCACGAAATTCATGCACGGTGGGGGGGGGGGTGTCCCTCAGCCCAGCCTGCACCCTCTCCAATCTGGGACCCCTCGGGGGATGTCGGACATCCCTCTCACAATCCAGGACTGCTGGCTCCCAACCACTCGCCTGCCTGCCTGCCTGATCACCCCCTAACCACTCCCCTGCCAGCCTGATCGACGCCTAAGTGCTCCCCTGCCGGCCCGATCACCCCCAACTGCCCTCCCCTGCTGGCCCAATTACCCCCAACTGCCCTCTCCTGCCGGCCTGGTCACCCCCAACTGCCCTCCCCTGCTGACCATCTTGTGGTGGCCATCTTGTGACCACATGGGGGTGGCCACCTTGTGCGAGGGTGTGATGGTGAATTTGCATATTACCTCTTTATTATATAGGATACCAGCCTGTTTATCCTTTCAACTACTGCTGGACATTTGGGATGTTTCCAATTTTGGGACAATGATGAATAGAACTACTATGAATCGTCTCATTCAGATCTTTGTGGGGATACTCATTTTCATCTTTCTCTTATTTTTACACTGAAAATATGTGATCCCTCTGGCATTTATTCTAGTATATGGTTGGAAGGAGGGTTCAGGGCTCTGTCTTCTGGGCAAATCAACAAGGCAAATTATACATTTTTCTGTAAAGAAGCATACCACCTGCAAACCTACATCACGTTCTCGTGGGGTCCTTGAAATTTCTGGAATCCCCCCTTCATATTTTCCTGAAGGCAAGGGCCAGGCGGGTTTTTAATATTTTTTTAAAATTTTTAGTTGTGGCCGGTTTGGCTCAGGGTAGAACCGTTGACCTGAGGAACTGAGGGATCCAAGGTCGGTTCCCGGCAAGGGCATGGACCTTGGGTGTGGCACTTCCCCGGGGG